TTCCCTTTCTTCAGAATACACTTTTGATTTGTACTGTCATTGTTTGCAGTAATTTGTCATATATAATATCTCTGCTTTGAATTGCTATAAATATAATTGACAGAATAATTGATTTTTTGAAGTTTGACAGATATAATTAAAATACTATATAAAAGAGCACAAAGTTTAAAATACACTCCGATGTTAAAAGACAATAAACACACAAAATATTGTATTAGTACAAGTATTTGCAAAACTTATACGTTAAGATAAAATGTATTCAGGTAAAGAACATGAATTCATATAAACTTAAGTATTATAAATTATAATTTTTGGTTTGCTTTTGTAATTCTCCATAAGAACTCATTTGAGGAACTTGAATGCTGTTGCTGTATTTCCAGAAGAGTTTTAGAAGGCACATGCAGCACAACTGTTCTCTATCTAGGGACGTATTATGAAATTAACTTGTTGGAGACTTTTGCTTTTGAGACCTGATGGATACCAAAATAGGCTACACAAATAACACTACAAGGAGATTCAATACTGCATTTCATTCCAATGAACTCAGTAAACATACATCTTCATTCAAATACTTTCTAAAGATAATCTTATTGTTTTTAGATGTTCACCTCTATACTCTTTATGGTACAGTTTAAACATGTTAAATTCAGATTTCATAATAACTCTTAGTTAGAGGTCTCAGAAAACAAGGGGGGTTTAGTACTAAGCCCAAATTAACATAAGCATTTAACCAAGTTCTTAATTTATCACACTTATCACCAAGAAGGGAATTGTCAATTATTCATATCCTCCATTATATCAATTCAGCACTGCTTTGGGACAGTTAATCAAGAACTTTCAGTAATCATGAATAACTATGAACATTTGGCAATCCAAGAGCAACAACTTAAGCAAGAAAGGTAATCACATCAGAACAAAAGGCCTGAGAGGAGCTTTCAGGAAGTGATCCATGCCATCTCTAATGATTACACCAGAAAAGAAAAATAAATAGACAGACACACATTAATATTCAATCATTTGCTCAAGGTCTCAGGGCAAAAGGACCTGCCCTCAGAGGAGGAAATTTTACTTTCTTACAACTAGCATTTTCTTTTTAACAAAGGAGTGGTGACAAGTAATTAGTATATATTATCCCTTAATAGGAAAACAATGAATTTTAAGCAATACGCTACTCATACAAGATAGCTGTCTTAATAGTCAGGGTACAATGTCACTGATGTAATTACTGGCAACATGAGATTCATTATTCACTTACTGAATGGTAACAAAATGTCCTGTATCAGAGGGAGTCAGAAGGTAGGAGAACATTATGGCTTTACCTCAGCTATTGTTATGGAATCTGGATACAGCGTGTGAATCAAATGATTTGCCAACATGAGATAAATCAGGGCGTCTTCATTTACTTGGAGTCCAAAATATTCATTGTAGTCACCTGAAAAACCCTCACCTGGAGGACAGAAAGAATCAACTCAAATATATTATGTCAGCACAAAAATCTTAACTCTCTACAGTCCCCAGTTCCACCAAAAAAAAAGTCTTAACTCTTGTACAATCATACCTGAAATTGATTGAAATTTTCTATCTCTAGCAAAGTGTAATGATAATGTTATCATCAGCAAGTGCACTAACTTCCAAAAATGCTTTGTGTTAATACTGAGTTTAAGCAAGTGTGCAGAATAGTTTGGTTGTTGTTGTTTTGCTTATGAAAAAAGCGGTGAGGGCTGGGGCTCTAACTCAGCAGTAAAGCCTTGGCCTAGTAGCTTTGAGGTCTTGTGTTTGAGTCCTAGACCACAAAATAAATGATAAACAAACATTAAAGGTTTAATTTTTAAAAAATCATTTGTTTATTTATTTGGTGCAAGGTCTCCCTACTCAGCTTGACCTCTTAGTGATCCTCCTGTCTCAGCCTCCCCAGTGCTGGGATCCCTGGTGTGCGCCACTACGCCTGGTTTCAGTGGTCAGCACAGCATGCTCACTGTTATTCTACAACAATAGCTGAGGTTCTGCAATGTCACTGAATGCAGTACCCGGGATAGAACCTGGGCCCTTGCGCTTGCCAGGCAGGCGCTTACGCTGCTGAGCTACCTCCCCAGCCCTAAAGGGTTAATTATAAGTAAATTTCCCAACAGAAAATTTATGTGATACTTAAAAAAAAACAAACAAACCTGTATTTCAAATTATTGACTCAGTTTAGGTCACATCAACAAAATGATAGTGTAATATTTTAGTAGGTGCCTCTGGAGTAAATATGAAAACCATCATGAAGCTGAGATGTAACATTCATATTATTTTGTTTATGTGCTTTAGTTTATGCCCAAAGATTTTCTAAGACAGTCCTCCCACTTCCTAATTTTGGTTGTTTAAGTTATATTGAATTTTTTGGACAAAACTGTTTACTTTCTACTCTTTCAGTGATTTACTCTTGTTTTTATAATTAAATCAGTGTTCAACACTAGCTATTTTCTTCTACATCTGTGTATCTGAATTCTTTTTACTTTTATTCCTTTTCAGATTGGCGAGTTCTATCACTGAAGAATATCCTCAAGTACTGTATCATTAAGGATACATATTTCATTTTTTGATTCCGTCATTTTTTAAAAAATACTGAGCTGACTACAATGTATATATTCAAGATAATTATTTGACATAAGTGTGCAGTATGTACTAATTAGCACAATTTCATTGTATCTGTCACCACCCAGTTACCATCTGTGCACTTGTGCATGTACATGTGTATTTACGGTGAATACCATCAAAATCTGCTCTCACTAAATTACAAAAACACAGCACAGTATTATTAATTAGAGCCAACATCCTGCACATACGATCCTGGAATCTATTCTTCTTATTGTATCCTTTGGCCAAAATTTCCCGATTTCCTCTAACCTACCAGCCAATGGCAAGCACTACTCAACTACCAAATTCTTAAGGCAGATATTATTTCCCTAAGAAAATGTGATTGCGTCCAACCCATTATTTCTTGCATGAAAGTGAATTACTTTTCCTTCTTACATACTTCCTGATGAATTTCAGTAAGTTTATAAGTTAAATATT